TGTTGGTTGTTCAAAAGATTTACAGCCTCTGAGAGAAAGATTTACAGCCTTGGGAACCCTGGAGAGCAGGTCTCTGTTCTGTAGGGTCACTGAGTGAGCAATCGACCCCACTGCAGTGAGTTTGGTTTACTTGTAGTTAAAGTGCTTTTTTGCAGAAAACGTCTTCTACTACTGAGGACCTTGAAAAGCTTTGATGGCATTGTAGGAAAAGCAGTGGACTGACTACTATTATAAGTTCAAGTGGGGCAATTGAAACCCTGTACAGGGGTTACTATGAGTCAGGGATCGTTCATTGGCAGTGGTGGTTAGTGTGCACCTGGTTGGGCTACTTTATGTGCCTTCTGAGTGTACCTTCTGAGTGTATATCTGCGATTCTATTTATTGATAGAAGTTCTTAAGGAAAAAAATTCATTCCAAAACATTCATGATAGCATCACTGTCAGATTTATTTCTAAATTGAAACCTTCATATTATGAAGCAATGCAGACTGAAGTCAGCCCCAGTATGGTATGCTGAATCATGTAGACTCATTTCTCTTTTCTGGGGCACAAAAACTATAAGAACTACTGAGTAGTATCTTTGGTCACAGAAAGATGGTTTACTAGCACTGCCATTACTCTTGTTCATATGTTGCCCAGAAGCAGCATGCTTAGTACCAGAGCCACATGTATGCTGGCTGATGTGAAGGCAGTGTGTACAACACTGACCCAGAGTCTAGTTGTACACAGAAACTCGTGGGCTATCACCTCTACTAGTGTTGCTTCTAAACCTTGCACATTCTCTTCTTGTTCATTTTGGTTACTACCTGAGGGATTTGCTTTTGTCATCACTTGTATTCCAGTTGTCCCCATCTTTTCTCTCTAGACAGCTGTCTCTCCAGCTTCTTGAGCATTGGCTGAGGGCTCTGACTGGAAATGGAAGCTGTCAGGTTACTGGACAGTTCCACATGGCACCCACCCTTCCTTCAGCTTCAAATGCTTATTTTGGAAAGAGACAAAGTGCATTTTAATTACCTGATTTTGGAAACAGTGATTGACATGGGCCCTTTAAATAACCTTCATACATTGTAACTACCTATGTAATATGGCTCTAAGGAAATCCAGTGGCAAGAAAGTCAGACTTTTGATCTGATTTTTCCATTATTTGAATACAGTACGAAAGAATACAGTACATTAGCCCACAACCTCATGTGCCATTTGATTAGCAGGAAGACTGCTACTGCCTTAGTATTAAGATCTTTTCCATTTGTAAGGGGTATGAGGGCTTCTTTTCTGACCCTCAGACAGGTTACTGCTTGCTGTAAGATCATACCCCAAGGGTGCAATTTAATAAACAGTAAAGTTTTTTTTTTTTCTTAAAGAAAAACATTGTGTGTTGCTTTTGTTTTTGCTATATACAACCTTCAAATTTTTAAGTGGGATCTTGTAAAGAGAAAGGCACGATGTGAGGATGAATTTGGAAGACAGTATGTAATGTGCAAGTTAACATTTTCTTTCAAGTATAAAAATGGGTCACTAGCTAAAAACAAATCTTTAAAATAGAAATAAATAGCTAGTATCTAGGGCCTGTCTTTGGTGAAATGACCATGGCTCTAGCTCCGACGGAAGCAGCGGGACTGCCTTCACCACGGCGGCAGCTTCTGCAGAGTCACCCACTCAGTCCCTCTCCTAGAGCAAGAAAGGAAGAAGAGCCAGAATTAGCCAAGTCTACTACTGCACAGGCCAGGACTTGATAAACACATCCTCAGATCACAGGTACAGATAATGTTTTAGACTTAAAGCACTTCACGGAAATCAGTTTATTAAAAGGATTAAAAGGATTCATCAAGTTTAATGTTCTATATCCTACTCAGTTTGATCTTAAAAACTTGGTGGTTCACAAACTATATAATAGCCTTCACTATGAATTATATACCTCATAAAGAAAACAAATACCTTCATGATAGATGGAGAAAAGACTGAAGTTGTCCAGGAGTCATTTTGCTTGGATCCATAATCAGCACTCATGGAGGCAGGCAGCATTTACTGTAAAGACCTCTTTAAAGATGTCACTCTGAGGACTAATGTGTACTTGACCCAAGCCATGGAATTTTCAGCTGCCTCATATGCATGTGAAAGTTGGACAATGAATAAGGAAGACCATAGAAGAATTGATGCACTTGAACTATGTTGAAGAAGAATACTGAACGTACTATGGATAGCCAGAAGAACAAAACAAACTCTGTGCTGGAAGAAGGACAGTCAGAATGCTCCTTGAAAGCAAGGATGACAAGACTTCGTTCCTCATACTTCAGATGTGTGTGTTATCAGGAGGAGGACATCATGCTAGATAAAGTGGAGGATCAGCGAGAAAGAGGAAGACCCCGGTGAGATAGATTGGGAGTGTCAGCAATAATGTAACCATTGTGAGGATGGCACAGGGTCACTGTGAGTCAGAGCCAACTCAGTGACCCCCTCACAGCAGCAAGAGCAGCCATCTAAGACACAACTGATGCCTGGTCTCTACTGGGAGCAATGAAGGCAATGAGGAGGATGGAAACTAAAGACAGAGTCTACACAAACCATGACCTCATCTACTCTGGGGCCAGAGGAACTAGTGGGGTACTGCCAGGCTCCTACCACCAACCATTCTGATCATGGATACTTGATAGAGTGGAAGAAAAATTGTGGACCTCAAGATCTTCAAGTTAAGACTTACTGAACCAATTGATACTAGCGATTATTGGAGACAATTGTCCTGAGACTAGTCCCTGAGATCATCTTTTAGGTAACAGACCTGTGAGCACTGTGCTCAGTTATCAAATCATCAAAAAATCATCTGAGACGAAACGGTCAACAATTACCCTAAAGCAGAATTTAGTGTAAGTATGAGAAGGTGAGGGCATGGGGAAGCTACAGTAATGGAAAGTAACCAGGAAGGGAATGAGAATGTTGACTGACTGAAAAAAACTTTAATTTGTATAGAAAATTATTAAATGGGAACTTAAAATTGCTATATAAGCTTTCACTTAAAATATATTCTTGAAAAACAAACAAAAAACTTTGAGAGTCCTGTTACCCTCCTGGCGCTCTGGTGGCAGGAACAGTGGGTTAAACATTGGGCTGCTAACTAAAAGGTCAGTAGTTCAAATCCACCAGCTGCTCTGCGGGAGAACGAGGAAGGTGTTGCTCCTGTGGATTTGGGCTTGGAAGCCCTCTGGAGCAGCTGCCCTGCCTTACAGGGCTGCTAGACGCTGTGACAGAGCCAGTGGCAGCAGGTTGGGTTGGGTTGTCCTGTCACTGTAGCCTACAAACTGAATATTCACGTTTACTGGATTTCATGTCCCATAAAGGCATCTTAACAGGTCAGACATTCTTTTCTTTAGCTCTTCAGTAATGGATGAGGAGCCTCTGCTGGCACAATGGTTAAAGCACTCAGGTAGTAACCAGGTCGGTGCTCCACAGGAGAGAAAGGGGGCAATCCTACCGTGCCTATAGGATCGTGATGAATAGGAGTCAACTCCAGGGCAATAGATTTTTCTTTGTGTAGTTGGTAAGGTGTCTGTACAAACTGCTGACAACTGGCCTGCTTCCTCCCCTAGAGAAGGCTGCTCCTCCCTCCCACAGTACAGCCTAGCTCAACGCCTAAATGAAGATGGATTGTCACCCCCATTTTAAAGTGCTCACTCATATAGCCACACAAATAGGCAGTGCTTTTAAAGCTTAGCAGTATACAGGGTCAGGGTTAGGTTCTTACTAAATGTGCCTGATTAATGACACATATATAGATACACATATGTTGGGCTACGAACCTTAAGGTCAGCAGTTCGAAACTACCAGCCGCTTCGTGGGAGAAAGATGAGGCTTTCTACTCCCATCAAAATTTACAGACTTGGAAACCCTGTACAGGGTCGCTATGGGTTGGAATCGACTCGACGGCACTTAACAACAATATAGATATAAGTGCTGTGGAGTCGGTTCCAACTCATTGTAACCTTGTATAGGGTTTCTGAGGAGCAACGAATTGAGCTTAAACTGCCGACCTTGTGGTTCAAACTGAACTTGCAGTCCAGTGCATTAGCCCACAGTGCTATACCGATTACTAATATTTTCAAATTTACAGATAAGATGCATCCACTGAACTTCCATCTGGGTCTGTGGAATCATGGCTCTACAGACTCAGCACTCAAATAACTCGAACTTAATTTTTTTGTATTTTACTATGCTATCAAAGTGTATACAGCAAATTTGGTTCCCATTTACCAATTTCTATACGGATTGTTCAGTTACATTGGCTACTTGCTTCACAGTATATGCAGCATTCTCATAATTCTTGTTCTAGTTGATTTAGTTTCCCTACCCCTTCATCACCACTTCTGCTTTAAGTAGTTGCTGACCATTGGTCTCAGAGTTAACTTTATAGAACTAGATTAATAACCCTAGTTAGGGGATAGAGTTGTTCTGGCACAGAGCCTCCCTTCTGACTATTCCTTTTGGGCTTTTTCCGTCATCCCTCCAGCTTTTAACGGCTCCGAAATGGTCTGGCCATGGTCCATGGGAACTAGGATTGTGTGCATGCTGCACAGCAATCAGACCTTTTGCACATTAGATTTAACCCAAATAGGATGCAGCGGGCCACATGAAAGAAAGCAGTGCTGTGGGCCTCTCTCTAAGCAGAGTGCTGCCTGTTTCCTACTCAGCTCAAAAGTCCACGCAGAAGAGGGTTTGGCTGCCATGTAATACACACACAAACCTGCTTCCTTCCATGTTCTATAACATAGTATTAAAACTCTACCAATAGTCTTTAAAATAAGGCTAAGAAAGCTTAAAAGGACTTTAGTAGTCCATTAGTACCTTATATTAGAAAATTGTATTGCTCAGGAAAGCAAATCCAAGCTTTCTTCCTGAGCCGGAAGAGTAGGGCTGCAAGTAGCCGGCAGCCGAGGGTGCTACTGGGCCCCAGAATGGAGAGGGAAGAAGGGCTGGGGAGCAGGTAGAGACCCAGGCCCACTCAGTAAAGGCCTAGGAGCTGCCATTACTGGTTCTTACATTTCTGGTTAAGCTCCTCACACAGGAGAACAGGTCCTGGTTAATCAAGTTCACAGCTGTGCGAAAGACATCACGAAGCAAAGAAGGCATGTGATCGGCCACCTTTTTGGCTAACAGCATGGTCACCATCAGTTTGGTCTTCTCCAAATCCATGTCCCTGGGACAGGTCTTCATCACCTGCCCCAGGGCAGTCTCCAGGTAATTTCTCCTGTCCTGGGAGAAGTAAAAAGAGAAGGATCACACAGAACTGCTTAGTTAAAAGTATTTCCTCTTAAAGGAAAAACTGCCCTAGGCAGCCCCTTCGCCCCCAATGGGTAAGTATGAAGGCATGGAGTTGGTTACAACTCATAGTGACCATGTATAGGACTTTTGAGGAGCGGTTGGTGAACTTGAACTGTCAATCCAGTGCTGACCCTCCAGCACCCCACCAGGACTCCACAGGAAGTAGTTATCAAATGTGGTGCTGTAGGATGAGCACTGGACCACGGTCAGTTTGAATCTTAAGGATGTTGGTTCAGACTCACCAGCTGCTCCTCAGAAACCCTACACCAGGATCGCTATAAGTGGGAACTGACTCACCTGCACTTACCAACACCACCAGTAGTAGGTTGGGCAAAGAGAGTAGGAAAGAATTGCATTTTGAAAGGCAGTGAGAGGAAGTCACTCCCTGGAATGGGATGTTCATGAACCAAACATACATGATTGAACACAGTGTGCCCACCAGTAGATTCATCATGGAATACAAAAGCCATGTCAGCCCCTGACCCATCTGATTAGTGCAGCTCTAGTACAGGAGAGGCAGGACTTCAGCTCATCGACACCTGCAGTCAGAGAAGCTCAGACTATGCTAGCTGCTGAAGACATGAGACAAGAGAGACAGCTCCAGAATGGAGACCAGCTTTCGTGGAGGACATTCCTGGCTGAACCTTGATGGAACCCCTGTAGCTAACAAGGCATCTACTTGATGGCCTCAACAGTATTTATTTCTATCTCCCACTAAATTTTTTCAGGAAGCACACAGTGCCTTTAACTTATCCTGAATCCTTCAAGGTGCCAAGCAAACAGGGAAGATTCAGTCATTACTTGTATATTCATGGACTGTGACCACAAAGCCAAGAGTAGCTGGCTTTTCTTGTCACGCCTGGCATTTCTACCGACATCTCGGTATACCTTCTTAGGACTGAAAGACTCTGGAAGAAGACATACACATTTCCCTGACAGTTGCTCTGGAGGCCTTTTTATCCCTAAAAAGTAGTCCTGGTGACACTGTAGTTTATGCGTTGGGCTACAGATGTTAAGGTCAGCAGTTCAAACCCATTAGCTGCTCCATGGAGAAAAATGAGGCTGTCTGCTCCCGTAAAGATTTACAGTCTGGCAAACCACATATGGGGCTGCTTAAAGTCACAATTGACTTGATGGCAATGTTTGTTGTTTTGTTTTGTCCCTTGTCCCTTGACTCTGGTTGCTAAATGTCAACTAATAGAATCTTTGAAAGTCCCAGACCTGACAGGAACTGAATCACCTCCCTGCATGCTGATCTTCCTGATAGGGAACAAAGGACAGATGTTTGACAAGTCAGACAGTCCTCATCCTCCCGTGGACTCAGCAATGGCACAGGAGTTTGATTGCTTTACTTACGTCCTCTGACAGGTCCCTGTTCATCAAGTGCCTTGCCAGGTTTTGCACCAAACCTGGTTGGACCCTTTTTTCCATCTCGTCTCCTATTTGGGCGAGATGCAAAGCAATGTTCCGGATAACTTCCTCTTGACTTTCAGAATCTGTATGTCCAGGCAGGGGCAGGAAAGAGACAGTGGAGTTAGACAACAATCCATTCAGTCTTCTCACTCTCACCCTCCCCAACCCCAAAGAGAAAAGACTTTTCTGCTCCCACGACGCACTGTGGTGGGCCGCGGGGTAAGGACATGGAAGCAGCAGCTTGGGGGCAAGAGATCAGGCCCAGAGACGGGCCTGAAAGAGCAGAAGACTGGCTCAAGAAGCGGGTCACTCCCCCAAATACAGAGGCCACATCTGCCCACAGGATCAGTGATGCTGGGGGCATTTCTGTGGCATGAACTGTGTGTCCGCCTCAGACACTGTGAAGGCAGTCAGCATGTTCGAGTCCCAGCCCCACCACTTCCTAGGCCTGAGGCCCTGAACAGTGAAGCCCACCCCCTCTAAATGGAACTCTCCTTACGTCACTCCTCTTCAGCTCCACTGGCCTCCCCCCCCGCTGGATCTTTCTGTCTGAAGGGCTCATTCCGTCCTTCAGGGTGGCCTTTTCTGACCACTGCTCAGTCCAATGTTACTAACCCACACTCCTTGCTCTCTTCCCCACTTTTTTTGCCTTGGCACTTACTACTGGATATTTTGATTTAGTTTATTCGTCATATTCGTCATAAGGGAAGCTTTAAAAGGTCCACAATTTAAAACCTATTTTACTGTCAAATACCCAGTAATTAAGACAATGCATGGCACAGATGCATGGATAAAGATACGAATGGGCCCAGTACCTAAGTTCTAGAAGTTATTCACTAAATGCCAGTTATTTATTTCTCCCATTAAATCTATTTCTCTGTGCTTGCATCTTTCCTCTGGCTTCTTATTTACCCAGGATAGAAACCTCATACTTTACTCTCCTCTGGCTTCTTATTTACCCAGGATAGAAACCTCATACTTTACTCTCAACTTTATCATTGCATTTGCACCCAACTGTTACATCCTGTCTTACAGAGAAGACACCCCCATCTCTCCTACCCTGCTCCTAGAACTCCCACACTGCCCTCTAGGACCCGTCTCTCCTCCTCAATGTCAGGAGATTCCTCAGAGCCATGCCTGGGGTAGGGCCAATGAGGCCCTTCAGGGGGCAGCATGCCCAGGTGCCCCACTAGCTTCCTTCTAGGTCTGGCCATGACATTTGTATAAATGTGGACATTACATCACGTGTCTGCTCAGGACATGACCTAGCCTAAACTTGCCAGTGACCTGCACTATTCCTTTCAACTTTTCTCACCAAACTCGTCTATTCACAATGCTCACTAAGCAGACCCGTCACAGGCCCTGCAGCCTTTTGTTTACACGGTTGCCTTTCTCTCTTCTCAAAAAGGCCCAGCTCAAGTGCAGTTGCACCCACAAGGTTTTTTTTCCAGGCTCCCACAGAGCCAGGTGTAACACCTTCTTGCAGCTCCACAACACTTAATCTGCTCCTCACTTAACCCCTAAGCCTCTCCACCCTACTGTAGTTGTTTAAGAGCCCTGGGGGCGCTGTACAATAAGCACTGGACAGCTAACTACAAGGTTTGGGTTGGTACTTTATGCACCTGTCTTCTCTCACTTGGGGTCACTAGTTCATGTCTAGTCTGTCCGGCCCAGCAGAGTAAGTGAATGTGATCATGGTGATATGAGTAGTTACTGTGCATGCCAGTTTCCTACCCGAGGGCGCAGTGACATGAACAATCCATGATCACTTTTGCAAATGCCATTTGGGTTCAAGTCAGGCTTTGCAGGCTATGGGTAAGGAGCAGCGTACAAAAAAGAGAAACAGAACGGCACAGGGGCATCCTCGAGCCACAGCCTCCAGGTACCCCTGCAGCAGCTTCTCAGAGCACAGTCCCTCCTCCCCAACTCCTTACATAACCTTTCCTAAAGGTGCCAGATGCTTTGCCTCCAGAGCAGGGCTGACCAGAACGCAGTCCAGGCAGACCTGCAGGGATCGGCTTGTGGTGTCCTCTCCTCGGCCACCAGAGGGCAGTGAGACGTGACCTTCATGCAGGAGAGTAGACCAAGGTCCACACCAAGTCCTACCCAGTGGGTAAGGGGCTGGCTCCCACTGAGACCCTCAGAGTCACATTAGACTTTTAGGGTAGTGACTCGTTCTAAACCAGGCATGTATTGGAAATACCTGGGGAATCTCTTGCTCTAGGATATTTGGATTCAGGACACTGGAGTATCCCAGGGCCTGGGCATTTTGGAATAAAGTTTCTCATACAAGTCCAAAGTGTATGCTACACAGAAAGGTCAGATCTGGCAGTGGGGGAGCCTCACTAAATTCTTCCAGCCTTCAGTTTTGGACAGTATCTGTGGGTGGAGGTGGCATGGTGGCATAGGAGAACTAGAGCAGATGTTGGAAGCAGGTCAAGGAAGGGGAAAGGAAGTCTGGGAATGCTACAGCTGGAGGCAGCCCCCACAATGAGAGTACAGTCGAGCCCAAGCTCAGGTCCTGGCTCTGGGCCTCAGTTTACCTTCCTCTGGGCCTCCATTTCCTTATCTGGAAATGCAATTCACAATACTTCACTGGTCTAGTTATTTAAGGGAGAAACAACTGCCCATTGCAGTCATGGGGATTCTGACTCAGTGGAGAGTCAGCAACACAGAGGACCCCTAATGAGGTGACCACTACAGTGACAGAAACAATAGACTCAAACATAGCACCTGTGAGGATGCATTCGGACCACACAGTGTTTGCCTAGAGTCAGTAGGAATCTAGTCACTGTAACTTGGAACCAATTCCATGGCTTCTTGCAACTGCATTAACACGTTTGAGAGTCCCCCTGCGTTAAATAATCTAGATGAGTGGTCCCAAATCTTGGTTGTTTATCAGATTCACCTGTGACTATTCTGTAGTGGCCCAGACAGCAGCATCAACCAGGTGCACCTAGAGGTTGATTTTCGGCACATCAGAAGGAAAACATTTCTAACAATCATCCAAAAATGATCAGTAATGAGTGCAACAGCAAGGGAGGTAGTCAAGTACAGACCAAACCACCATACATACATATCTATAATGTGTGTGTATATATGTATATATAATATATATTCAAGTATATATAATGGACTGAAACCGCAGAGGAGACTGGATCCAAAGGTCTCCTCCAGCCAGCCCTTTTGTTGTTGTCAGGTGCCATCGAGCCAGAACTAACTCATAGCGACCCCACACACAGCAGAACGAAATAATGTCCGATTCTGGGCCAACCTCACTACTGCTGCCACACCTGAGTCCATCAATGATGCCACCTGGCTGATCCATCTCGTTGGGGATCTTCCTCTTTTTCTCTGACCTCACCTAGCATGACATCCTTCTCCATTGATTGTTCCCTCCTGAGAATATGTCCCAAGTATGAGAGACGAATAAGCTCTTAGGGTCCCAAGATGTTATGAGTGATGACAAAGCCCAGTTGTGGAGTAAATTAGCCGGCCAACACTCACTTGACTCACTTCTCACGACGTAGAAGTGGCTGCTCCGGTTGCCATCTGTCTGCAGGTCCTCATGCTCCTCATCCTCCATGAAAGCCAGCACAGGAAGCTCCCGGCCCAAGGCCTTCAGCTCATCGTGGAAGTTACAGTTAGAGGAGTGTTTGAGGAAGGCAAACACCAGAAGGTTGGTGATGTGCTCATTTGGGAGCCTTGAGCCATTGCTGACCTGAGGAGAAAGGGACAACATCTGTGGGCATCTGCTCACAGGGCCAGAAGTCCTTCTGACCACTCCAAGGGCTCACGTACAGCCTGGCCTGAAATAGCCCCACTGATTCCTCCAGAGCAGAGACCAGGCTCACAGCGCCCACTCTTAAGATTCACGAGACAGCTACTCAGCGCGCGTGAGGCCTCCTGACATCTTGTTGCACTGGGCTTGCTTTTGGGGCAGGAAGGTCCACAGCATTTGGATGCCTGTCCATGTAACTACATACATTTCGCCAAGTCTCCTGTACCCAGTAGCAACTCCAGCCCACCTTCGTGGCGACGCATCTAGAAGCTCTTCTTTTCCATACTCCCCTTTGTAGGCCAGGATGGTACTGTGGAAATAGCAGGTTTTCAAGAGATACTAGGAAGGAACTCTGGTGACACAGTGGTTAAAGTACTCGGCTGCTATCCAGAAGGTCAGCAACTCAAGTCACTCTGGGAGACCGATGTGGCAGCCTTGGAAACGTTATCAGGCACTTCTACTTTGACCTATACGGTTGTGATGGGTCCGAATCGACCCCAGGTGGAATCTAAAACACGTGCCTTGGAGCAAGTCCAGTGGACTTTGAGGGTGTTATCTGAAGGGCTGGCGCCATCCACTCAACACAGCCTCTGTGCTCTGGACGTCTGGAGGGGCATCTCTGTGCCCTGAGTTTGCAGCCAAGTTGTTGTATTCTTGCCTAATTAAGGGAAGCACCTGTCACATCCGCAGTCAGACACCTGGGATGAACGGACCTAGAAGGCTAAGGATACTGACACCTCTGCCCAAATAGATGCAAAACAGACAGCCTGCCCTTGAAGAGAAGGTCAGTAAGAAGGTGAAGAGACAGGGAAAAATGATTTCTACCCTCCAAGTTCTTAATATTTTTTGTTAGAAGGAAAAAGAAAACCAACAAAAACTTACCATCAGAAACACACAGGAGAATACCGCATGAAGACAGGCAGATTTTTTAAGTGTAGGTAGAGATTGGAGTAATGCAGCTACAAACCAAGGACACAAGGAACCTAGGAGTGAGACCTCCCAGAATCGCCTTCATTCTCACTTAGAGCCTCCAGAAAGCCCAAGAACACATTTGTTGTATAAAGACACCCACTTTAGGATTCTGTCACAGCAGCTGTAGAAAATGAGTAAGGCAGTCTCTGTCCCAGAACTCCTTTTTGATTTTGTTAGGTACTTGGGAGTCTCAACAGCGACCCCATGTGGCAGAGTAGAACGGCCCCAGACTCTTTCCGACGCTGTATGGTGCGGTGCTGTGGGTTAATGCGCTTGGACTGCAAGTCGATTTAAATCTCAAGATTGATTCAAGCTTACCAGCCGCTCCTCAAAAACCCTATACAGGGTCGCAACCAACTCGATGTCACTGCTTTGGAGTCCTGGTGGTGTACTATGGGTTAATGCGCTGGACTGCAATGTCAGCTTGAAATGCAAGGTTCGTGGTTTAAGCTCACCAGCCACTCCTTGGAACCAACTCGACAGCACTTCACAACAACAGATCTTTATGGGAGCAGATCTCCAGGTCTTCCTTTCATGAGCCACTAGGTGGGTTCAAACCACTGACTTTTCAGTTTGCAGCCAAGCACTTAACCGTGTTTTAGCAGCAGGGCTTGGGGCTGGTATCCAGGTGGCTACACTCTGATGCATGCAGAGTGGCAGTTACCAACAATACACTGGGTTAGACTATCAAATATAATCTAAAAAAGCTGGCAGGGAGGGAAAGCAAAGATTTTCATATTTGAGAAGGATGGTTCTAGGCACCATGAGTTGGTATCAGACCTAGTTCGTTGGGTGTGTCAAGGGCAGCTGGTCTACACATGCACAGGAAGTGGGTGTGAAGACAGCGTATTTCCAAGAAGAACTACAGCTGTAACACACCAGGAAAACAGTGACTTTTTTGGATCTTCTAGGGCTAAAAAGTTGAAATGGATGACTCAGAAGATGTTGAGATTGGGTAAGTTGCTCATTCTATAAGAGCACAGTAAAGAAAAAAGAAAAACTGAGGACACCCTACTGGACAGATTACAAATAGTCTGAGGGAAGCAAAAAATGATGGCCATCCTACGAAATCAGTGCCAGTTCAGGGACAAAGGTAGTGCTGGGCTCCAGATCCCTGGAAACAGGAGCAGATAAAGTCAATCTCACAATTTCCTGTGTGTTTTTCTAAGTAACAGAGGAGTCCTGGTGTGGGGCTGTAGGATAAGCACTGGATTGCTAACCGCAAGGTCAGTGGTTCAAACCCAGCAGCCACTCTCAGAAACCTTACACAGGGGTCCCTATGCATCTGAATCAAGAGAAATCTACAACAGGATGAAAGTTGGGATCTTCAAATACATGAGAAAACTGACGAGTGCTTCACTGTGAAGCCCACCTCTGTGGCACTTCGAGTAAGCTTCTTCACCCCTGCGTCTCCCTGTTCTCACTGGTAAGGAAACTAAAGGAAAACCCTGGGGAGTCATGATTCCCACCCTTCCTACACGGGGGGGTCAGCAGGAGGACAAATGGGGCAATGTGGGAGAAGGAACATCCTACATTCAACGAACCATACACATTGCTTGACTACAGGTTGCTATCCCCTACATGTACAAACAGTTGACAGCATTTATTTCTGTTCCCTTTATCTACTACATTCCTCCCTGTGTCTCTTGCTATCTTCATCCTTCCTCTACTTCACTCCCTTTTTTTTTTTTTTTAAAGCTTTGGTGAATTGAGTGATAGTTTACATGGCAGAGCCTCAGTTTTGCAGTCAAACAATTGCATCTTGTTTCATTTGTAATGATTACAATCCCCTTTTTTGATGTACACATACTCAGGAATATGCAATCATTTAAACAACCAAAGGGCACAGTTTGCAAACCAGCCCCTTGCCCGTTGGCCCACAGCCTTTCTCTGTCCATGAGTCTAGAGTCCTCAGCTGCTCTGTCTCTCCATGCCATCACTTCTGCCTCTGTCTCTGGTGTCACTGCTTCTCTGGTTAGGGTCCCACCGTCTGTCCATGGATCTTCCACCTTTACAATTTTGACAATCGCAATTATAAAGTGACTGTCTTTTTTAAGACAGATTATCTCAAGAGTAAGGGAGCAAGGACAACAGTATCAAGCTGAGGGGGACAACAGTATCATGCTGAGAGGGACAACGGGTAGGTATAAATGGCACTAAACAAGTATTTTAGCCACTGATGTTGTCAGTGTTAGGTACCACTGAGTCGTAAAGCCCCTATGCACAACAGAACAAAACATTGCCCTGTCCTGCACCAGCCTCACAATTGTTGCTACATTTGAGCCCATTGGTGCTGCCACTGTGCCAATTCATCTTGTTGGGGTTCTTCGTCTTTTTCTCTGACCCTCCACTTTACCCAACATGATAGCCTTCTTTGGGGACTGATGCCTCATAACAATATGTCTGAAGTATGAGAGATGACATCTGCCCATCCTGGCTTCGAAGGAACATTCTGTCTCTACTTCTTCAAACACAGATTGCTTTGTTCTTTTGGCAGTCCATGGTACTTTCAATATTCTCCTCCAACACCATAATCAGAACAAGGTAGAGCTCCCCAAATCCTCTCTACTCAGTATGTCTTAGGCCGGCCCTCCAGCTACAAACATGGAAACCATGAAGTTATTATCCTTTGAAAAGGGTATTCGACAAGTGCCCACTGAGAACCTTCTGGGCACCAGGTCCTGCTACCTGCTCTTTAGGCTACTGTAGCTGCTGCCCACAGTGGCTGCTGAGAAGAGCAGGTTTCCTGCAGAGACCACTGATACGCCCTTGCGCTGGGACACTTACGAATGGGTAGAACTTGCCCCAGGAGAGCCATGAAAAGTAGATAAACCAAATTTTCTGATTGGATGTGCTATGATTTTCCCTCGATGTGCTATGATTTTCCCTTCCAAGACCGTTATGTGGAACAGAAATAGTTTAGGCAGCATCAGTTAGGGGAATGGCTTATGTGAGAGGGTGCTTCAAAATGTTTGTGGAAAAACGGAATGAAAAAATAATGGGATTTTTGCACAAACTTTTTAGAGCCCCCTTGTATGATGATCTCTGGGTAATGTCTCCAACCCAAAACAAATGGCTTCTCAATGGCCTTAAGATCAGCCAGCCCTCAACCTCCCATTTGTGACCAGGCACTATATGTTAGAGAAAGAGAGGGACAGGTAAGAGTAAGGAACGCAGAGAGAGAAAGCAAGGAAGGACAGGAAAGGGAAGCCGAGGAAGGAATCCCTCTCCCTGTACTCTGGGAAGTTAGAGGCTCTTCTTTGCAGCGCAGTGCAACGACGACAGGCACGTAAATGAAGAAACAGCCACCTCCCATTCCCCTCCCGAAGCATTCCTCCAAACCAATTCCAGAGTCTGACCTGAGAGCTCATGGCGCTGTCAGTGTTGGGAAGGAAGCTCCGACTTACTACTGGCTCACAGGTGACTGCGGTTAGGTCAGCGGCCTGGAAGAAGATGGACAAGACAGACACACAAACAAGGGTTGGTGGCTGAAAACCTGCAGACACAGGTTATGAATCACAGCTTTGCTGGGCTTGAACCAACCCCACTGAAATCTCCACTGCCCATCCCCACTTCCCTCCTCCTTGGCTATGTGCATTAACCCAGTGAACAAACGGGATTTTCATCCCTAAGCCTTTCCCAAGGAGCTCTAGTAGTGTATGGGGGCTCATAAGTTGGGCTGCTAACCTCATGGTCAGTAGTTCGAAACTACCGGCTGCTCCGCGCGAGAAAAGAGAAGGCTTTCTACTCCTGTAAAGATTTACAGGCTTGGAAACCCTAGGCAGGGTCACTATGAGTCAGAACCGACTCCACGGCACATAACCACCACCAGCAAGCCTTTCCCAGCATCTTAGAACTCCCTCCCATCCCCCTCCTGGCCAATCCTCCCCTCTCAGAATTCAACTCTTCTACTTCTGTACGATAAACACTGGACTGCAAACCATAAGATGCATGATTCAAATCCACCAGCTGCTTCTCAGAAATCCTCTACAAGGTTGTTATGCGTCGGCACTTAACTACTCCAAGGCTCAATAAAACCTCACTTATCAGGCATATAGGGGCAGAATGATTCACATTAGTCTAAAGTTTCTAGAGTAACTTTAGTTCAAACCTACCAGCTGCTCCTTGGAAACCCTATTCAGGGTTGCTAGGAGTCAGAACTAATTCAACAGCACTTTAACAACAACAATAAAATACTAAAAAAAAAAATTTTCAGAAAGAGCCCTGATAGTGTAGAGGGTTACGAACTGGGCTGCTAACCCGCAAGGTCAGCAGTTCGAATTCACCAGCTGCTCTCAGGTGAAAGATGAGGCTTTCTGCTCCCACAAAGACTTACAG